TTTTTTTTTTCCATTTTTATAGTTTATATTTAAATCGGTAAAAAAGAAAAAAATGAATCGAATCGAAATAATATTGGTTTTTCGATCCGATTTTTTTCTTTCTTATTTTAAGTTCAAAATCGAATCAAAATAGATATTTCGATTTGATTTGATTTTTTGATTAAAATTGAATTATGCTTACCCCTAATAATTTTTATTGTATCTAGTTTGTATTATTTGCTCTCTCAAAATAGCTCGTGGTAGAAACATGACGTATGGTCACCTGTGTAGACCTTGGAGAGATCCGAGAAATTATCAATTTGGTATCAAATCCTAGTTCCATGGCTAACAATTCAAATGACCTATGGTTGTTATGATTTGAGCACCGGATAGAGAGTCCGAGCGGACAAATAATGGAGATTTGATGAGATGAATGAAGATGGTTAGGATCTTATTGTTATAGAAGTACATGCACGAGTAGAGAGCTTTATGTGTCTTCATGATGGAACATAATTTAGGTAGAAATAGTAACTTTGAAAGAAAAACAAACCTTTTTGGAAACTAAACCTAAGCACGATTTAAATAAACGAGATTTTTTAATTTTTATTTGAGAAAGAAATATGAAAAGCATCCCTTTAAGAATTTAGCCTAAGTAATTAAAAATTATAATCCAATTATTTAATTTTCTTAGTAACTAGGAGTATTCATTGTACATGTCTACTTTTACATCAAATAGTGATTCGGATTATGAGTATGCAAAGTACTACGGAGTTGATGACTTACTCAATAACCGATTACATTCATCATAAATGTTGATAGTCGTAAAAAGATAAATGATCACTTAGAAAAAAAGCTATAAAGGCCTTAAAACAACAATTTGGAATGCTTATAAATGGAAAAATGTCACTTACGAGAAAATCTCGATTTATTGCTTCGTTTGTAGTGATGGAAAATGGGTGAAATTAAAGTTGGTGTTGCATGCCCGAATTATGTTTGATTATGAAGATGCATAAATTAATTTAGAAACATGCATTGATATGATAATAATATCTTAAAAATAATCAAGTGACTATTGAATTTTGTTGAATTTTGAATTGAGCATCAATGTTTGAAGAACAATCATATTGGCATGACATTTGTTTGAATGATTTTGTAGGTTTATCATCCGAAAACCCTCATGAGATACAACTTGTACACTAGAGATAACCTAAGGGTTTAAAGACTTGTTGCATATGCTAAATGCAATCTTGATCCCTACAAAAGTGAGTTAGGTTTTTATTTTATTTGTTTACTCAAGGACTAGTAAAGTTTAACTCGTAGAGATATTTGATAAGTGCATAATTAGCACGATTTTTATACTTTATTACATTGAACTTTCTAATAATTATTGTATTATATTATGTTGTTTAAGAATAAGATGACGAGCTTTGGGTTTTTATAGGAAAAACAATGAATCGAATCAAGGAAACCCAATACTTAAGTAAGGAAGAGAGAAACTTCAAAAAGGCTTAAAAGAGTCACATGGTCATGTGAAATAACAAATGAATTAGCTACCGGTCGTGTGACTTAAAGGAAGAAACCATGTGGATTCTCATGCAATACAAGCCACATGAGCGAAGCATTCCATATGGTCGGAGGAAGTAAACCCACACGACCGTGACTCAACCTAGCAAAAGTCAATGAAAGAATAAACCATACGGGTAGTAGACATTGCATACGATTTATAGTATAAAGCCACACGCCTATGTCTCTAAGGCAAAACAGATCTATACGAGCGGAAGTTTGACAGCGCAAAATGAAGAATAAAGGCACATGGTCGAGTGCCCTAGTTAGCAAACTATGTAACACTTATTTGCCAAGGCTTCAAATTGTATAATATCAAGAACCAAACCATGTAACTTTATGTATTAAGCCGTATGACCATGTGAGATTGACACACACGTGATGTAACCCGAGTTTTGGGTATAAATAGTAAAGCTAGGGCATTATTTAACTCTCTCTACACAATCTTGAGCAGACCACCATTCATAAAAACTCTATTTGCAATTCATTATGAACAACTAAACTCTATTCTTGGTTGAATCAAGTTGAAGCTTTTGGTTAATCGTTGTAAGATTATGATTTTATTTCTAAACTTATCTTACTTGGGTATTTTATATTTTTCTTCATGATTAGTTCATAATTGTATGATTATATTGATGAAAGTCCATGCTAGTTGTTTAATCATATTAATTTATTACTAGCTAAGTATTTAAATCCACGTAATTACTTATCTAAACTTACCTATGGTAGTAACTAGGGGTTGATGGTTATTTTTCATATTTTTATTCAATTCTTTAAAAAACATAAAACTAGGTTACATATTCTCTAACGTTTAGGAAGGTGGCTTAGCTTCACCTATCTTTCTCTGTTTAATGCTCTTACTAGATTAAATCTATTTAACACTTAGTAGTTTATTCAATAGCTAGGGAATTAATTGAGTATCTTATATTTAGTTAACGACTAAGTAAAGAAAGACCGAGTTTAATATATATGTTGTTGTCTTATGGTGAATATGCATGTTTAGGTTAAGTTAATTATTTAATCGATGATCAATGATCAAACTAAAAGTGGATACCGAAGTTCAACTTAGGTTTTTTTAATATTGTTGTTCTTTATTACTTTCTATTGTTTTCAACCACTCCAAACACACAAACCCCCTTTACACTACAAGAACTCTCAAATAACCAAAACAATCGATTGATTTCCTTTTACGTAGATTCGACCCTTACTTGTCCCGATTATATAACCGTGATTGAAAGCTCTATAAGGAAATATAAATCATTAATTTGTTGACGATACGACGCATCATCAATGATAGTTCGGGACTTCGGGTTGGTATGGGATTTGTCTCAAGATGAAAGAATTTTGGCTTATATTGCAAAGACTTTTATGAGTTGCAAACGAGCATGATCGGAGGAAGAAATTTATTGATTTTTCATAGTAAGGTTAGGATGGTGTGAAGAGAAGGAGGGATCGTTGTTTGATGGGAGAAGGACAATACGGGAGACGAGTAATAAGAAATAAGCGGACAATGTGGGAGGAGGACAAGGAGAAGTCAAAGAGAGGAAAAAAATAATAAGAAATAATAGGGCTTTTAGGTCTGGATGAAAATGACATCGTTTTATCATCTACGTTCTTTTCTTTCTTTTACGTTCCTTTTCGAATTTAGAGTCTGGACTTTGGGCTTCGCATGAGTTTGTTCCCGCTTCCTTTCTTTTTCTTTTTTTCGTTATTTTCTAGAGTAAATTATAAAAAAAAAAATTAAAATAGATCGAAAAAGGATGGAAAATTTAAGGTACACAAAAATTTAAAAATATAAGGATTAAATAATTAGTTTTTGAAATAAAAAAAATAATTGAAACTAGAAAGACTATTTTATAATTTAGTCATGAGAATGACTTGGAAATTCATGTAAAAAAAAAAATAATAAATCTCGAAATAATGTATAATTTTTTTCTTTTTTTGAGAAAATAAAAGGTTAAAAACACATTATAACATTTTCCCTTCTTTCAATTTATTGAATAGTTAAAAACCCTAAATCCAAATCTTTTAAGATAGATAGGAAACTTTTCGAGTGTAATTCTTGAGTATTCAAAGTTGTTTTAAATGGTTTACAATAAAAATTAAAGAATTAAAATGGCATAAATAGAATAAAAGTAGAAATAAGTTTTGAACAAAAACACAAACCTTCTCCTTCCTTTTTCCATCCCTTCCTACATGGAAATGATAATAATAATGATGATGATAAGAAAACTTAAAAGAAATGGAGTATTTATTATTTATCTACTATTCATTCATAATCATATTAATATTTATTTATTTTCAACCCACACTCATAAATACTAGTCACTTGATATTATTATAGTCACTTAGTATTATTGTGATTTTCTACTTTTTTTTTAAGCATTTGATATGGTGTTTTTGTGATTTTCAATCTGTGTTCAAGCATTTGATATGCAAGTTGACATATGTTGCAATTTGGTTTCTATTTTTTCTAAAACTTTTCTTTTAGTTCTTAATTTCATTTATATTGTGATTTGGCTCCTAAATGTAGAGAAAAAAATAAGAAAAACAAACCTACGACGTTACTATAAGCACCCCATACATAGGTTCATCCCACCATTGATATCATAATTGAGAAGGCCTACACATCTAAGTGGGTGGAAGAATTTGACTCAAACAATCTTCTATTGAGAAACATTTGAGGATGATAAAGGCATGTATTTATATTGACTTAGTGAGGTACACTAAAATTTGCCAATATTGGTCTATTTCTTAATTAGAGGTGGAGTTGAATTATAAGTATTGGTAATATATTGTAATGTTTTTTTAAGTTGTAGAGACCGATGTAGATGGAGATCCGTCATATAAGACGCTATACGGAATCAACATGACGGTCTCGCTAATAAGAAATTCTAATTCAACCGTAGAGTAGGTACTATTGCCAAATCACTTTAAAATTTTGTATTGTGTGATTGTTCATGTCTTTTTATTTATTTATTTATTTTTACTTGATTCGTTTCCTAATAACATTAGTGTAGCAAATAAAAAAAATTAAGAACTATATGCTCACTCACACACATATATATTTATTCAAAATGTGCTATGCATATAAGCATTGGGGACATGTTTAATTAGTAAAAAAATAGTCATCGATCATCCACATTTGATTTGTCCTTCCACCGCAACAAAATAGCTAGGTACGCATGTAAAAGAGAAGAGTTCATCGGAATTGCAATGCCTTTCATAGAAAATATGAAGTATCCAGCTCAAGAGTACGAGCCAAGTCCAGGGACAATATAGCAATAGCCAATAGCAATACAAAATACAAAATGCATATCTACCAGAAAAGATCTAAAAATGACCTGGTCAAGGGCATTAGTAGCACAAGCAAGCTACAACCATAACTGCAAACCAATACAAAGTAATTAAAAAAAAAAAACACATCACTACACAACCAGGAATCAATTTAATGTACTTTAACGCATCATATTGTTCAAATCTTGCACCTTTTTCTTGCTTGGTTTCGTCATGGGCAAAGATATATGAATGAAACCAAACTTTCTCCTTTGAGTATAGAACTGCTTTTGTTCACCTCCCTGTTTTTCACTTCTTGGATGAAGTGTTAGATCCTCCCTTAGGTCATGAAGCATTTGACTCAAAGCTACCTTTTGCCTTTCTGTGCGGCCTTCTGCTGGCCTTGCTGCAACATATTCTTCCGGTCTAATTTGCTTCCTGCTCAGAACATCCCTCATTGAAACTGTGGTTCTCAAAACAGGCTTTGGGCCATCATTAACCAGACTGGAGTTGTTAACTTCATTTAATGGAGAATCCTGTCGTTGATCAGGTTGATGCAAATGGAAATTACCAAGCCTGGTGGGATAATATTCACCCTGTCCCTCTTGATCATCCTCTGGCATCCATTCGCGGAAAGCCTCTTCAACAGCAAATTGCTTTCTATTTGCCATTTCGACTTTTCTCAGAGCCTCTTCTAAGGCTTGTTTGCTTAGTTTAACTTCTTCTGTTGCTTCCCTTAGATTTTTTAGAATAGACATTTTAGTGAAGTTACCCTCTTTCTTTGGGAGCTTCAAAGCTTCTACTTTTTTATAGGAAAGCATCTCAGCCTTCTGAATTTTTGGAGTTAGAGGAGATCGTGCTTCAAACAAGGGAATATTCTCTGGTTCTGGCAAGGCATATCCTGATCCTGATGAGCTGTCATCAGATGACAGAGCCTTGATTTCTGCTAGGGCAACAGCTTCTGCTGCTCTTGCTGCTTCTTCCATCTTTTTGGCCGCCAACAACCTCAATTCGGCAGTTCTTATGTTAGTCTTGATATTTTCAGCTAGCATTCCTTTTGAAACTTCCATTTTCTCAGCTTGATCCATTTTCTTTAACTGCTCTGCCTTGTAATCAGTTTCAACAACATCAGCAATATGTGGCTTTGCTCTTGCTTGCTTTAGCTCTTCTTCCAGAGATAGCACCCCTGCAAATTTTGATGTTAGCCTCTCACGGGTCTTTTCGAGTAAGGTTTTCTCTATCTTCATTTTCTTATTCAAAGACTCAACAGAAGTTTGAATCACCCCAAGGTCGTTAATGGTTTTACCAAGGTTCAATTTTGCTTGCCTCAACTCCATTAAGATGAGATCAGGAGATGCTGTAGGGCAAGGGCTCGAACTTCCGATCCTCTGTTCGCGGTTGTTGACATGAAAGCTGTAGTTTTCCTTGTTCATTTCTTTGATAGCAGGACTTGACATCGGTTCATCAGGAACTGTCATGCATCTAAGTGCTTCCTTTTGCAGTTGCTGCTTTAACTCTTCAACGACCCTTTTCGTTGTTCCAAGTTCTTCGAGGACATCGAGTGTTTCCAATTCTTTCACGATCAGATGCTTCTCTAACTCTGCCGCTTGTTCCTCCACCTTTTTTATGTCGATATCCTCAACTCCCTGTAGCTTATGAAAGTATGGTTATAATCTGAAAGGGAAGATGCAAAACAATCCCATATGCAAGACATTCTTTAAACATTATTACATCAGAATAGTAAATCAAAAACCGTCAGAATTTTTTCCATTCAATGTATCTATTTGAAGTGGCTAAATGCTTGGTTTGAAGTGTTGCGAAAGTTAGCATCATTTTTTCCAGTTAATAAATTCAGTTGAGAATCTGAAAATATAAAATGTGATTGTGCGAATTTTGAGTGGTGCAATACATAGAATGTCTTTTCCTCCAAAATCTTATTTTTGTGTATGATCCAACTAATTAATGGCCACTTCTACTTCATCTAGCAACAAATTTCAGCTCCATCAAAATATCAAATTTATTTAGCGTCGGACAAATGGCTCATTAGCCATACTCATACGCAGCAAGAATCAAAACCTTAATATGACTAATTCTCAAATCCTATACTAATAACTTTCAAATTAAATAATTATTACCAAAACTGGAAAAAAAAAAAAAAAGAAATGAAGCAACTTACATAACTTTCTCCAATCCTATAGTAATAAGGCATCCATGACCCGCTTCCCCCAAACCGGGTCACAGCCTCCTTAACTGACCCAAACGGAGGCGACGTGTCGATCTCTGCTCTCAAACCCACCTTCCTTGTCCCCTGGTTACCTCCATTTCCATTCTGTTCGTTGCAAAACCTCAGAGTCTCAGTCCCCATTTCGGACCTTATTTCCCGGATCCCGGGCGTACCTGGAATCGGTTCAGGGTCAGGCTCGGCCATCTCCGAAACAGCAAGCTCAACTTCAACTGATAGTGGAAGTGTGTAATGTTACCTTCGAAAGCAAACGCTTTAAAAGGGTCTAAAGAGAAAACCATGATGGGCATGCAATCTTTAGAGTTTGTGTGTGTGATGATGGTGTTTGTGGTCCGACTCACCAACTCGGGTCGAAAAAGCAGCGAGGCTACCCGGGTCCACTGTCCACTCAATGAGTCCTGGCTGTTATTCTGTGTAACGAATTAAATTCTGTTCATGACTTGGTGGACTTTTTATTGGTCAGAAGTGGGAGGTCAAAGTTAGAAATACAAATAATAGGCAATTAACAAATAGAATGCTTACACGTGTACGAGCGTAAGTGAGATTGAGAGCTTCTTGGCGGTTAAATAGTCTCCTTTAATTTTGAGCGTGAAATGCGGGTTTACTTTGTAATAAAGTGATTTGGAAGGTGCAGCTATGATTGAATTTTTTTTGGGCAAAGCAGATCACTTCTTTTTAGCTGTGCTTTGCAGATGATTTGAGTTTTGTCATCTCCATTTTTTTCAGGGTTTATGTATCTACGTACTTTGATTCTGTCAACAACAAATATTTTCTATGGTGATTTTCATACAAATTTTCAACTTAAGCCATGTCACAAGTGAAACAAAAAAGATTAACTTCTTGAGGCTAATGGGCATGTCCCATAATTAAAGATTTGAACTAAAGAGATCGACCTAATTTTAATTTTAATGTAAGCATTAGTTATCTAAACATGAAACATAATCTCAATGGATGAGTTTGATGATTAAAGACATATGTTTTCTTTTTTAACTTTTTCAATTTAAATCTTGGTATTAACATTTATAAGAAATTCAATTGTTCTTAAGTTCGCTCAAGAAAAAAACTTAATCTCAATTGACGTACAAATTAGCCTCGATAATACTTCCTTACAATCTAATAAAAAAAACTAAACACACACACATATATAGAAAATACGAAAAAAAAATATAAATAATTTTATAATAATAGGTGAGTTAATAATTCAATATTTCTTTATATAATGGAGTAATTTTTCAATCTAATAAGAAGAAAAACAGTTGAAAAAAGGGAGAGGCAAAAGAAAAAAAAAACCCAAAAAAATAGAGGCAAAAATGAAATGAATTAAAAGAAAAAAGAGGAATAAGAAGTGAAAAAAAAGAAGAAAATTGAAGGACGTAGGAGAAAATAGGGAGAGAATAAAAGAAGAAAGGATTGGGAAAAACAACCAAAAAGAAAAGAAAAAAATGGAAGGAAAATGAAAATAGACACAGGGGTACAATTGATGTAATGATAAGAAGAAGGGCCGAAGAAATAACTAATTGGAGAGCACAATTGAGGAAAAAGAAGAAGTACAATGACTGAAATAGAAAAATTGGAGAAATTGAATGATAAAAAACTTCTATTCTTATTCAAACGATGTCATTTTGGCATGGGAAAAAAACAATGTTCTTTTGCTATTATGCTGGGCATTGTTCATCTTCACCTAGAAAACAACCATCTTACCCTCTCTGTGTCACACTCCTTGCTCCATCAATCAGGACAAAATGACATGTTTTTCTTTTCTTAGTTTTGTACCCAAATTTGTAGCAATAACATAGCTGCAAAAACCTATCAAACAACAAATAAATAAATAATAAATAAAAACACTTAAACCATATTTGTACATCCTCTTTCCAAGCTACAACCACAGGCAAGAACAACTGGCAAGAAAGTTTCAAAGGCTACGATAAAACTTATGAAATGAAGAGCTGAAATAAAACCATGGAAAAAAAAAAGATTGAAGGAAGGACATTCGGGCTATATAAGGACGGGCTGAAAAACAAGAGGGGGTATTTTGAGTGAGTCCCCAGTTGTAGTGCAAGGAAGAGAAAAAAAGGAAAAAAAAAAAAAAGGAGAAGAGGGCAGAGTTGATGTTCTGAAAGGGGTAGGCGACGTGTAGAGAAAATGGAGGAAAAAGAAGAAGAAGAGTGATTCAAATTAGTTGAAGGGTTGATTTTCAAAGCCAGACTGTCAATTTTGCAGGTATTATCTCAAACTCCTAATTCTTTCTTTTCATGCTTTTCATGTTCCCTAACTTTACCTGTTAGCATGTGTATAAGATTGCAATTCTGGCTTATGAATGTGTTAGCTTGCCAAAAGATTAGAACTGATAGGAAATTTTACTAGTGAGATTTTGGTTTGGTTGTAAAATTAGGTTGTCCCTATGGCTGAAAACCTTGGTCCATCATGGATTTGGGATCAGTTTCAGCTTTGTCAAGATTGTTTCCTATGTTTGCAGGTAAAAAAAAAAAAAAAGAAAAAGAAAAAAAATGGAAGAAACTGAGAGCCAGGATGACCATGTAAGAGGAACCAAGGGAAAGAAATAGAACGTTTGCAGCTTTGACCCTTCTCGTATAATATGGTCCCTATTGTTATTGCTCACTTTTGTTTCAGTAACTAACTTCAATGAGTCTTCAATTTGGAGACATAATGAGGGCTAAATAGTAAGAATTAACTATGGTTTTAATTTTGCTTTTTTATTTACATCTTAGTCCATGTGGTTGTTGGTTGGTTTCGTTTTAGTGGTGTTGTGTGTGAATATTGAAATGACAAGCTTAAAATAGAAAAAGAATCACCACATAATATTAAAGGTCCCTAGAAAATCTAAATGACTCGGGTTGCTTCAAGTTTTTAGGCAAGGAGTTGGTTATGTATAGAAAAGATTAAAATCACCATACCCCATTCTACATGAGATAGATCGCATCACATACAAATCAAAATATCATTTTTAGTTTTTATTATAATGAAAGTCTATATCTATTTGAGTGTGTTTGCTATCAAACTTAAAAGCTAATCAGTTGAGTGATTTGAAATCGATTGGTCAAAAATTCTATACTCATTAAAAATAAACGAGCATAAAGACTTAAATGAAAGTCAAAATGAGATAAAACCCTATCAAATCATTCGGTAAAAGCCCTCACACACATAAAAGCATAAAAGAAATGTATGAAATGAAAACCTATGATTTTAATAAAAATACATGAAATGAATATCCATATCTTGTCAATAATTACATGAAATGAAAACTCATGACTTTGTTTTAAAATGCATGAAATAGAAACCCATGACTTATCTAAAACCATGAAATGAAAACCCATGTATGAATGCGTGAAATGAAAGTCCACATCTTCACTTAAAACATGAAATAAAAAATACATAAAAATAAAAACCCATGACTTTGATATATATATATATATGAAATGAAAATCTATTCATAAATACGTAAAATGCAAGCCCACGACTTCACTTAAAATGCATAAAATAAAAACTCACACGTATAATTAAAAACGTAAAATAAAAACCTACGTATGAATGCATGAAATGGAAGCCCACAAATTCACTTAAAATGCATGAAATGAAAGCCCATGACTTCACTTAAAATGTACAAAATAAAAACTCAAGCAAGGATGCAAGATTGATGCCATAAAATTATTTTTATGAAATTTATCAACAAACAAATCATATCGAAGATGAAAGTAAAGACATATAATTTTCGCAAAATTTGTTTCTTCGAATACGGATATCATTTGCATAAAACCCATTAATGAAAAATATGTCAAAAAAAATAACACATACCATTTTTATAAAATTTGTTAACATCCAAATTTGTATCCCATTCACTTTTGATTTTTTTTTTAAAAGAAGGGGAGAGAGAATTTAATTGGGGACTTATTGGAAAAGAATTTCAAATTAGAGGTGTGTCTAGAGAGAAAATAAAAAGATAAGGTTTAAAGCTCGAAAAGATGAGAAAGAGAAGGCTGAATTGGGTTTTTTTAACCCAAAACCCTAAGAAACCCTACTATAAAAGCCTCTATTCTTCTCTCTCCAAAGGGAGGTCATCATTTTCTTTCACACCAAAAACCTTAAAACAACCATCCTTCTAAATGACCAAAATCCTTTAAGGTCATCGATCATCATCCTCCACACCCATTATCTAAAGCATAACACTCAACTCCCAAAAATCTCTATAGTCGACAACCACAACTCCCAAAAGCCCTAAGAGTTGTAGGCCAAACAACTCTTAAAAACATATAAAGTCATTTCCCTATAGCTCTCTAAAACTAATAAACTATCGGTCATAGCTCTCTAAAACCCATAAGTTGCCATCCATAACTCCTAAAAAACTCCAAACCCATCGACCATAGCTTCCGGACCCCCAATTCATGCTAGTCATCTACTCCATAACTCCAAATCAACTAGCTCTATAGCTTCTAGCCCCTATTGCTACTGTCTTAGCTTCAAATGGCCCTAAACTTTTAGGTTAAGTAGTTCTAAAATAGCAATTAAAAGCCTCATTTATAGCTCTTAAAAAACCCGTAAAAATTATCCATCATAGTAGCTTCTAACTCGTCGGTCAAAAACCATCCTTATCTAAATTTCAATAAACCTTGAAAACCAAAATCATCTCAAAACCCTAAATCTAAATTTCAATCAATGCAAGATGGTGATGATTTTATTCAATGGTTAGTGAATTTAGCCCAAAATATCCTTCAAACCTTTAACTTATGCTTGATAGAGCAATCAAGCAAGTAGAAGAAAAGAAAATCTTGACTTATTGGTGTTAACCTTTTCTCTTTGACTAGCAACATTATTTTATCTTTATCAAAGGGTTGAAAAAATTACCACCATCTTTTTTCACTCTTTGGAGATTGTTGGAGTGATAAAAAACGATTTCAGCATCACTCGAAACCAAACTCGCCACCAAAGATAGATTCATCATTTGGCCTAAAAAGACAAGTTAGGCACTATTAAGAGGGTAGTTTAGTCATTTTGACTAATCGAGTGAGTTCTCAATATCTTTGTATTATTTTTATATTTAATCAAACTTAAATGTGTATATGTAAATGTTGTGAATGAATTGATATTCATGGATTAAGAATACCTTTGCAAACAAAGTTGTTTGTGTAGGGGGTAAAATGTATATTATCGATTTTTTTCACTAAAATTAATTAAGTTATTTAAATAATTTTATGATACACTAATCTATATTATTTACTTTGGTTTTTAGTATGGGTCCAAGCTATATGATAAATGGATTGGATTAAGAATGGGCAACACCCAACACAAGACTTTGAGTTGTGCAATGATGTACATGGGTATTCGGTGTGACTAATATCCATGCCTTATCTTTTAGATGCATTAAAAAGATTTTCTTGATGGTCTTGGAGTAGGATCCAGTAAAAAAAACTAATTATTACTTCCTTTAGTCTTTGTTAAAAATTTAAAGCAATTTAGTCCAAAAAAACTTAACTTTTTTTAATTCAACATTGATTGTCCAAACATGAAAAATGTGACACGATCCTAGCAAGTTAAGGATCATCTTTAATTTATCGTAAACCAACCTTAATCATTTTGAGAAAATTCTAACTTTCTAATCTTTAAAAAAAAACATTTGAACTCTCTCTCTCTCTCAGCTCTCCTACTCATACACTAAACAACATCTAAAACTCATTTCATTTGGAGTTTGACCATCCACCTACCTACAACTTAACTTACATCCCGTTTTTACCGCTTCCTCCACCTCCCACCTCTCTCACTTCTAGCTCCCATTCTACTTGGTTAGTTGAATGTTATTTTTACAAGTCACAATAGTAACTCTCTATGTCATGATCAATATGCCAACTAGTGATTTGTTAAGCAAAATATTTATGTAACGAAAATTTTACAACGTATTGTTAAATGTGCTTTGTTAGATTGGAATTTTTTTCCTGTTTATCGTACAAGTTGAGTCTTAAATGATATCTTTGATAATATATTCTTCCTCTATAAAGCATCAAAAGACTCGTAGTCTATTGGTTCTTTTTTCTACAATGAGGCCAAGTACATACAAAGCCTCCTCGACTATTGTCCATTTTGATTTACACCCTTTATATTTCTTTTTTCTTATTTTAATATTTAAATTATTAGATGTTTGAATCGGTATCCTTTTTGTTAGGATCCTATCACTATTGGTGACGAGAACACTACCAAATAAAAGATTTTTCTATCACAAGTCTATCCATATAAATTTTGAGAAAACAAGATTTTTGGTGCCCGACTTTTGATTTTTTTTCCTTTCTGTTTTGGTATCCAATCAATAATTTCTTCTTGTTTAACTACTTAGCTTTGATTTTTTTTTTCCTATTTTGGTACCCATAGTCACCTAAGATTATCAATTGCTAACATATTCGAGATTAACTACTATATGGCAATCAAAAAATATCGCGTGACGATCAATTTCAAACATGTCAATAACTCATACTCTTAGGTGATCTGTGGGTACTCAAATAGAAAAAGAAAAATCAAATGTTAGGCCTTAAAATAGGAAAAAAAATTAAAGATTGGGCACCAAAAATGTAATTTTTTCAAAAACTTTATCACCTTGAGATCGTGAAATTAGTCTAAGAATTTTCACTTGGTTGCATTACTAATGAATATTTTCTATATCATGCTAGTGGTGTTTTCTATTTATCAAAAACAATTTTTTAGTGCTCCGTATTAGTCAAAAATTACTTTTTGAAAATTCTAAACTCTTTTAGCTTTTTAGACAAATTTAACATTATGTCATTTAGTGTGTGTGTATATATATATATATAAGTCTAACTAAGATTAACTTTATAAAAATAAAAGACATATAAAATCCAATTATAATTGCCATTTGCGAAATAAATGGTTGGCCAATAGAGAAATTTATAAAGAACAAAAAATGCTTCCTCTTCATGAGGAGAAGATTGACCAACATATCATGTCATGGGTGATATAAGTTTTCTATAGCCAATAACTTATTGAACTTTTTATAGTAGGTTGAGATGGCATAGAATCAATATGAATAAATTTAACGATCAAAGTTTTTGGTTTAGGAGTTAAAGGAGCAATAATTTTGGTAGATAATAAGTAAAATGTAAATTAAAAGAAAAAGTGAATGTATTGTTAATATTGCTTGTGTAATTAGCATAATAACAAAAAGATGTGAATGCATATAGTTGTTGATGTTCTTGAAATTTAAAATTATGACTTTCAATAAATAAAAAAGATATTTTGAGAGATCACATACATATAAAGATTACAAAAGCACGAGAAATAAAATCTATTTATAACCAAGAAGGGATAAATCGAGTGAAAGAAAAGGCAAGACATTTAGTGTGAGAAAATCAAAATAAAATTCTTAGGGAAACAACATTTTTGGTACCAATCTTCAATTTTTTTTTATTTTTCCTTGTCCAACTTTTGATTTTTTATTTTCTATTTCAATACCCAAGCTTTGATTTTATTATATATATATATATAATTTTTTTTTCTATTTGAGTGTTCACAATCACTTGAGACTATGAAATGCTAATGTACTTGGGGTTGATTTCCACATAGTATTTTTTACTATTACATGACAACTAATTCTAGACACATCAGCAATTGATAATCTCATGTGACTATGAACAAAAAAAAAAAAAAAAAAATCAAATGTCGAGTAGCAAAATATAAGAAATTACCTAGGTTAGACACTAAACCAGGAAAAAAAATCAAAAATAGGAACAAAAAATGTTGTTTTCTCTATAAATTCTAGACCCAATCATTATTAGATACGAGTGTTTTAAGACTATAAATTTTAAATTTAAAAACTAAAACCTAAAATTTTGATTTCAATTTGAGTTTCAAAAAGATTTATTATTTTCAAACGTTTTTTGAGATATATACATGAAATAATGAATATCCATATGAATATCCATCTATTTTTCATATCCCGACTACTCATGATTTTTAATGTGATTCAATTCATCATTCAATATAAGAAATTGAAAAGATGATGCAATTGGTGTACTTTTTATTATTCATAGTCTCTTCCAATTCTCATCTTAATTTTGAAGCCTATAAATAGGCTTGATTGTTCATTAGTTGACGTACAAGTTTTTAGAGAGATTAAGAGAACAATTTGAAGTTCTTATCACTTGTATTCACTTTATAGTGATTCTTTTTCTTGTCATTCTTTCCTTTAAATTCTCCTATTATTTCTATTTTTCATTATATATATATAGTTCTTTTAGAATAATTTAGTAACTGAAAAGGTAAAATTCAATTGTGAATATTGATAGAAAAGGTCTTAAGCCAAACCCCGAATGGTTCTTATCCTATAACAAAAGAAAAACACTATAAATAGCATAAAACAAAATAAATTAGTTAGAATATAGAGTCCACCTATCCTTCTCCTAAAATTAGATAGAAAAGTGAAGGCCTTTTAATTGTTCAGTGAACAATGAAAAGTCAAATTGCATTACCTTGATGATGAGAAGCAAATCAACAACTTTCAGACCAGCATCAAATTCAAACAAACTGAATTTTAGGATGCATTACATTAGACGGAAATCAGTCCATTCGACAAGAATCACATGGCTTATGAAGTTGGTTCACCAAAACAAATATTTATAATTATATGCCCAACTGATTGAACAAGGCATCAATGCACACCATACATCTACAATTATAAGCCTAACTGATTGAGCAAGTCATAAATGCACATTTAATTTAGAGCTTCATCTCTTTCTATCTCTCTGGTAGTCTTTCCTGAATAATACGCCTGAATTCCACTGTGTCAAAAATTAAGCGAGCTTGAGTTGTTAGTATCAAGGATCACCTTGTAGAAGAGAAGCTTGAAACTAGCTCGACAAAATATATTAATTATGGGACCAAGGTTGTCCTCATCAATAAGATGTACATGCAATTTCGCATCAATGAGTTTAATTCCAACTCTGTGTGGACCGAAAGAGTCAGGCTCTAAAAACAAGCCAGCAGCAAAGATTTAAGTCCGACCGTCAGGCAGCACCATCTTTCTTCTTTCTTTCTTTCTTTCTTTGTTTTTTTTATTTTTTTAAATAAAAATATTGTTAAATCAATTTACACGTTAATTAAAACTAATTTTCACTCCAAATAATTTTAAAAATATACATTCCATATTGATTTAATGCATTCTAGAAAATTTAATATTTTCTTCTAATTATGATCCAGTTTAAATTCACAATTTTTTTTTTTATAAAAAAAAGAGAAATCATGCTTGAAGTTTGTTTGAATTTGATGGTGATCTAATTAATTTGATGCCATCCCCGTTACATTACCACCATGCTAATGTCTTGATGTTAATTTTTTTTTTTTTTTGTTATTTATCAAAACTCATGGGTTTTTGGGCTGTACAATAGAAATAATCCTCTTTTATTAAATAATTATTAAAAACATTTGAAATCATTATAACTCGAATTTTCTTTTTACTTTAAAAAAAAAAAAAAACTAACCAGATAGATAACTGGTAGACAAATGTCTTAATGTTAACCACCTTTCATCTACCTTCCCTTACAAAATCCCACCATTAAAGCAGCTTTTCATGGAGTCATGGACCCCGACCAGTTCTCATTTATTTTTCTCTTGCATGCCCTCTAACCATATTTCCCCGCTTCTCAGCAGTTTCGTGTGATGGACGGTTCTAATACATCCAGGTATTGGTCTTAATCAGTTTTGGCCTAGCTTTTCTTCCAAAAACTATTTGTAATACATCTACAATTATATTGTCATATAAGCACATAACTAGCCTAATGTGCCATCAAATTTCGCAGCTCACACCCAATTAATTTGCTCAAAATACACATAGATGTAAATAGGGAAGTCCCACTTCATTTAGATATTGAAGTAAGCAGTTATTGACACTTGACACCATGTTGGGACCAGCTTTCACATATCAATGCGAGCTTGTGTTCTTTGTTCTATATATGCATTTTATGAGCCTCAACTGTCTCTACGACAACCTTAAATTAGTCCGTAATCTACTACCACTACCAAAGACTCACTCTGAGAGAGAGAGAGAGAGAGTTTATGATCTTCAGCTTCATTTCCGGATCTTGAATCCTTTAGATTTGCAAATCATTGAAGCAAACCTAAGAAACTAAGCCGCCTAGCTACCTACCTAGCAAATCCAAAATGCCAAGTGATGAGCATGAAGTATCTCAGAACTCAATTGAAATCAAACAAAATGACAAGTTCTTCACTAGGATTATGTCCAAAGAAACCTCCATGGCCAATTCTTCGTCCAGGGTCTATTACGGAGGTGCTTCAGGTGCAATTCCATTCATGTGGGAATCAAGCCCAGGTACCCCAAAGCACACATTTGCTGATACCTCTATCCCTCCTTTGACACCTCCTCCTTCGTATCATTCAACTTCAAAATCAAATTCCACGCACAAGTATGTAAAGCCAAACCTCTTGACCAGCATCTTCCATAGGCTCACCCCTAAAGGGACTCGTATGTCTCCATCATCTTCAATGTCGTCTTCAACGTCATCTTCGTCATCTTCGTCATCGTTTTATTCATCACCATCAAACTTCAAGCACTCAAAATCTAAAAAATGCTACGGTTTTCCATGTGCAAGATCGCCTATCTGTTACAGGGATGATGATGATGATGATGATGGACATGGCCTTAGATCACCCATTTCAAATTTGTGTTATGATATTAAACGTAAAGCTGTGAATGGGTGTCATGGTTACCATTTGGCGAACATGAAGAATGCAGTTTTGTCACTCGTACGGCATGGATCATCAAGCTAAGCTAAGGTGCTGCATTTTTTTTTTTTTTACCCTCTCCCCCTCTTACTTGTATGTACTGCTAAATTATTGGTTTCTATATTAATTATCATGTAGAAAATGTGAGTATTGTTTTTGGATGTTATTTTTTTGGTGAATGTTTACTTCAGCTGGAAAGTCTTGCTCAATGTAATCTATTATCAAATCCATCCTACTAGTAGTATCAGTCGTTTGTTTCCAAAAAACGAAAAAAGAAAAAAGAAAAAAAAAGGTTCGAATTAGAAATCTTGTAACAGAGGAGAAACTAATGTTGATTCGGCTATACCTTATTTAGCAATATTTTTAATAACTCTCAAACGTACAATATAATTATAGTATCTTTAAATTTAAGACACAATAAGATCAAAGTTATCTCATTAATAAAGTTAAGCATTTATTAGTTCCTAATCATATAAAAATGAACTGTTTACGAAGTAAATAGTACTTTTTCTTCTTGAACCTTAACAAAGTACATACCTTTACTGAAACTAGTATTTTCAATACATGAGTTGCATGTGTATCAACAAAAATGATGTTAAAATTAATTCTAAGAAAATGAAAAAAAAATCAAGAATTTAAAATCCAATCAAACTATTTGGGAATAGAACTTGAATAAAACCACCTTTTTCAATGCACACCAAATACAATTGTTGAGGAAAAATTACTAAACCATATAAAAAAATATTGAACATATTGTTATATATCTTTTTTTTTTTTTCATTATGAAAGGTTAACAATAATTTCACTTTTAATGAACAAAAGACTTAAAATTTTATGTTTAATATTCAAGAAAAAAACTTACTTTTTTTACATATATTTTATTATTAGTTTTCTTTCCATGTGCTTGGTACTTGTAAGGTTGTATCATTCAATTACGTATTTAATAGTTTTTAATAATTTTTAATGTGGGGTTTAGTAGTTAATATCTAGAAAATACGAATTTCATATATATTTATCATGAGAACTTCTAAAAAATAATCCTTTTAAAAATTATATAATTTTATCATAATATACTTAAAAATTAAAATAATTTTCTTTACATCATTCTAAGATAGCATAAATATTTATATATTTATGTTAGAGAGAAAGAGAGAGAACGCTTAGAAAAAATATGTAAATATTTTCTGATTTATATCATATTGAATATTTATACTTTTTGATTTTTTTTTAAATTAAGATACTTTATTCTTTTTTAATTTGATTAAAACTCTTTATTTTTTTAAATTTATTGATTTAGACTCTGCATTATAATATCGTTAACTATTCATTCTACGTAATACGTTACCGTTAACAATAACCAATGTCTCAGCGATACGTGGCTAAATGGGCTCAAAATACAATATGTTGGCTAAATCAAAAAAAAAATTAAAACTAATTTTAATAATAAACTAATACAATTTTTTTTTCAAAAAAAAAAAAAAAAGATGAAAAGACAGAAAACTTCATAATCAGCATCATTCAACCCACCACTCTGTTTATGTATCCTCCTCAAAATCCAAAGGACCAGTAGCCAACAATCATTTCATTATTCAACCCCATCATAATTCATAAACCTAAGCACCAACTAACCCACCCAACAGAAGCACATCAACGTTAATTAGCATCCGCCTAGAAACGAACCAACCCTATCAACTACAATGCAAGAAATTCACATCAAAGAAACCACTCCAATTCACCCTTCTACGCCTCCCTTCTCTCAAGACCATACCCTTCCTCCCTCCCACCTTGACACTAACCGCAACCTCAATGTCACATTTCGCTACTTTTGTGTCTACGTTAACACCACCACAAATGCCAACCACCCTTCCGATGTCATCGCGGCTGCGCCTTCCTCGGCTCTTGTCCACTACTACCCTCTGGCTGCCACTCTCTGCCGCGGCCAGGTTGTAGCTGGATTGGTTGAGGATATTGGACTCTATTTTTTATTTTGGATTGATATTGTTCCATAGAAGTGATTATTTTGAAATGTTTGTTGTTGGGTTTGTTATAGATATCCATGGGAGAATTATTGTGATTGAAGGGTATTTGATTGCTTGATCCAAAAATAAAAAATTTTCTTTGATTTTCTGAGAAAAATTTAAAAACGAGAGGAAAATTTTCTGTCTTGTAGCTGTTACAGTATTGCAGATGGAAAATTTATCTGGTTCGGGTTTTGGTATTTTCGTTCTTTTTTAATTTCAAGTATTAGTTAACTATAAAAATTAGTTTTAAATTTTTTGTTCAAAGTAAAAACTGTTTTGTGAGCCTACTATGCCATGTTCCAATTCATGATTGATTATGGTTAATTTTAACGTGTAACATAGGATAGATAAGTAACGAACTATCTGAATAAATAAATTTTTTAAAATAAAAGATTTTAATTAAGTTAAAAAAAATAAAAAGTTTCAATTAAAAATTTTGAAAAATAGAGGGACCAAATAATGAGGTAAACTCAAATATTTTCATCTAAAGAAGTCAACTATATTATAAGGGTTCCTTGTAAAATAATTCCAATTTAATAGTTTGCTGAATTTTTATGAAATTTTTTTATATTTTAGGTTTTAAAAAATATTGGGGGGAATAGAAATAAAAAAAAAGGCATAAATAAAAATTTTATGAGGATTTTATTAAACATTTTTTTTAAATATTTGTAGTGATTATAGAATGTAAAGATATGATAAAATATAACCTAAAGTCGTTTCTAATTTTTTTATTTTGATTACTTTATTACTTATATTTAGTAATATAGTTGGATAAATTTTGATATAATTTTATTATTTTTAAGATTTTAATCACTAACCTTAATTGACTTATTTTTAAGCTTTTGATAGTTTTTATAGTCAATATAAAGTTTCAATAAGATACTATATAGGTTAGGAGTGATTTAAAAAAAAACTTCTTTTATATTATTTAAGGTTTTATGTGATGCATAAATAGGCATAAATTAGAAAAACGGGATTAACCCATTTCTTCAAAATGGGATTAACCCATTTCTTCAAAATTATATAGATATTTTAGTCTCATTCTTAATTATTAGAGATAGAATTGAATGCAACTACTGATAATTAGTTTTTTTACATAAAAGGAAAAGTTAATACCACTACTAATAATTAGCTTTACGAAAAAGGAAATAAATATAAGTATTAAAATTCCAATTTTAGTCATATATAAAGTTAATAAAAATTTAGTAGTATTTTAGTCTATTCAAATGTTTCGATACAGAGTTCATGTTCTTACACATTATTCTCTGGATTGTACTTGATTACACATAACAGTCACAATTGCAGAGAAAGTAGGCACATTACAAAAAAGTTAAGAAAATATTTTATAGTTCAATGGGTGAATTTACACACTTATATAATAGAAGTAATAGTATTTATTTTTTCAGTCATAAATATAATATAGTATTAGTAACTAGTGACTAAAGAGCTTGTAGCACGTACAATAGTAATGATCTATTACAATAAGAGATTATAAATTAAAATATTAATAGATTAGTTTTGTTAGGAGTTTTGAGTATATATATATATAGTGCGTACATAAAATAATAATCAACTGATTTATTGAATGATAAAATAAATTATTGTAATATGATAAATAAAAATATTTAATAGTTTGTAAGTTTAAGGCAATGTAATCGCAACGTCTCCAAGTAACTATAAAAATTGCCAAGAATATGACTAAAAAAGTAAGACTACAACCAACCGTCATGCATAATTATGATAGATCAAATTATAGTTTTAAACATGGAACACAATTGTAAGAATTGTTGTGATCATAATTGTTAATCATAATAATAAAATAACAGTCATGATAATCAATATTATAAATACATTAATAAATTAGCTGCTATTAATAAATTTATTTTAATTCGTATATTTTTAATAATTTTATGAATTAAGCATAATAATAATATCTTCAATAATTTAATATATTGAATTTATTACAAAAGAAAATTAATAACACTTCTAATAGTTTAATATCATATAAATAATAATAAAATATAAAAAATTAATTTTGATTTTTATATAACGGTCGTTATTCACTAAATTAAGGCAATAACAATGTTATGTAATGATAACGACATATAATGTTGTTATTTGTGTGAAATGTTATTATGTTTTCTATAATAATGTAGAACGATAACAAATATGTCTGAATCTTTTAAATAACGATTGTTATATTACATAATAATTATTATTTAAAATTATGAGTCATGCCTTAAAAAAACATCAATTTATTTAATATATTGAATTTATTATAAAAGAAAATTAATAACACTTCTAATAGTTTAATATTATATAAATAATATAAAATATAAAAAATTATTTTTTATTTTTATATAACGATTGTTATTCACCAAATAACGACAATAATAATTTTATATAATGATAACAACATATAATGTCGCTATTGTGTGAAACGTTATTATATTTTCTATAATAATGTATAATGATAATAAACATGTCTGAATCTTTTAACTAACAATCATTATATTACATAAAAATTGTTATTTGAAACTATAAGTCATACCTTAAAAAAAAAATTCAATTTATTTAATGTTTTTCAATCCAAGCAATTTAAAAAAAAAAAAAAAGGCACTTTCTCATATGGGTTCAGTTACTACCATAGCGCAAAAGTGTACTCTTCGCGACAAAATATCCCTCACCCTGACGTGTCTAGCTTCATTCGTTGATGCAGCGATAAAACCACTTCCCTAATTCCTGTTGTCAAAAAGTTCCTTACAAATTCAATCGCTGCTAATAAGTTATTTGTTGAACCAAATTGATTGCAGCAATTATATTGCATATGACGTATTTTCGTGATCTTTCACTTCTGAGCACTTGATACAAGAGCCTTAATTCATATTTACTAAGCGAATTTGTTGTTTAATTTGGACAAGTTCATAAATTCATCAATAAACTAGTTCAATAAAAAAAAAAAAAACAAAGTATATGAATAAAAAGCTCTATGATATCACAAAATGAAGAATGAATTTTCCATTTATTATACTCATGTATATTAATTTCAAAAATAGATGTGTTTCATAAAAAGTTTTTTTTTTTTTTTTTAGGGAAAAAAACATAGACATACGATCTCAAAAGCTATGGGTGGTTGTTTACTCGTAAACATGAGAGATTAAACAAACCGTGAGTGTCTGTTTGGTATTTATGCGTTTTAATTTATAGGAAAACTATAATATATTTTTAGTCGTGCATGGATGATAAGATTTGGAAAAAAAAATGATTTACTTTCGAATCAAAAGAGAACATGTAAGCGATTAGTTTTAAGATAAAATTTTTTATTAACATATGAATTTCAAATTCTAAAACCACATTTATATGAAAAGATTAAATTTTATTTTTTATTATTCGAATAAAATTAATCATATTTTTAATGTGAAATGAGAATATTTAAAAAAATTATAAAAAAACACAGGATATGTTTAACAAAAAATAAAAGAATTCATTATAAATCTCTTTTTCTTCAAATAAAAAATTAAAAATATAATAACTAATTACCAAATATTACTTTTACTAATACTATTTTCAATCCGCGGCGTAACACAACACACCAATACCAAATAACCTCAGATCTATGCATCGTTTAATTTTTGCTGGGTGTGTGGTCTCAGCTAGGGACCAACGTACGTGTGAAAGCTTATGTGAGCATTAATTGTCCATGTGCTCGCATTAACAGTTACGACCTTTTTTGTCCCAACCAGCTGCTATTAATTGATTTATGCATGTCCTCGTAAGGAAAGAAATTTGACGTTATATATTTATTTGGTGGATCCCCACATGAACGCCGCTTGAACTTTTTTATTGCTTCAACTGCTGTACAGCTACAGCAACTCCATGGTCAGATCTTTTTGAGTTTTTGTGATTCCCTGTAAACATAGTAACGGTTCGGTTTGAATCAAAACCGAACCGTTAAAAAACCAAACTGAAATCATTAAAATCGTAACTTTGATCAAATTGGATCGTAACCAACTACCTATGAGTTAATTATGATTTAAGGTATCATGAAATCGGAATCGACTGTTCTAAACCGACGGTTCCACATCTTTCCTAATAAATTTGGGCCGAGTCGAAAAAAATAAAAAAATTTAAATAAAAAAACCAATTTTATATGGGTTAGACAAGTAGCTATTAGACTGAAAAATGAAAAAAAAAATGAAGCCTAATAATTTTTAATTTTTGGACTTAATATTTTAATATATACATATAATATAATAATATAATAATATATATTATTATTATATATATATATATATATATGTGACAAACGCTCACAAATGTGACCGTTTGTCAAAATGGTCACATTTGTGACCCTTTTTTTTCCTCTTTATAAATACACTCTTAATTTTTTCATTCTCCTCACAACTCAATCTCTCATTTTCTCTTAATCTCTTAAACTCTTAAGTCTAGAATTCTCAATACTTGTCTTACAATATTTTTTATACTCTAAATAATTCTTAAATTTTTTACATTTCTATTGTTTTATACTACAAAAAATGGCAAGTTCAAGTTCATATATGCTATCACAACAAAGTAATACCGCCAATCAAAATTAGGCAGGGGAGCAACAACAACAATCAAATTTTACACCTAGATCATCCGACATCTTCAAAATTCATTTCTCAAAAGTTCCTTTAGAAAAAGACGTTTTTACTCGTGATTTACAACTACTGCAACAAGCAATACACATTCAAACAAGGAGGTGGTTATGGAACATTCAAAACCTACTTGGAGAAAAAACATCCATCCGTACTTGGTAATATTAAACATCAAACACAAATATCCGGGTTTGCTTCTCAATCTTCCTCTTTATTTCGGTATACTAATAAAAAAAATAAAGAAGAAATGGCTAAAATGATATGTTTTGATCATTTATCTTTTAGTTTTGGTTAAAAAAAATGGTTTTAGTGATTATTGTTCTAACGCTTTGAATCATGGTTTCAAACAAG